CTTTGTTCGTTTCCAGATCTTTTTGATGACAGCACGGAGTTCCTTGTTAGCCACATCCAAATCCCCTATAAAAGGAATGACCAGAATGAGACTTTTACAGGAACACAGACAAAGAAGGGACCCACAGGTCATTGAGTCCAACCCCCTGCATAATGTAGGTTCCCCAGCAAGTAACTGTCCAGCCTCTTTTTGATGTCAAGAAGGAGCCACCACTGCATCTATAGGCAGTTGGTTCCATTGCTGAACTGCTATTGCCATTTCTTCTAATGTTCAATCAAAACTTAGTACAAGAAAACCTGGGAATGAAGCAAGAACCTCTGGACAACTTTCTTCACAACTTATTACAATTCAAGAGTGAAACTATCACAAAAGATATTTTTAAAGGACCTGGGAGTTTAGAGTTTGGGATCAGATCTCATCCATGTATACTCATTTATGAACAATATATCATATTTGATGCCACATATATTTGTTTTGCTGACTAGTCCACTATTATTTGTGTCATCCCAGCAAAGTTTCCCCTTTTCTCAGATTTCCAGGGAGGGAAAACATCTTTGAACTAAACAGGAGGGATAAGGGTACTTAGAAGGGATAGGAAGGGATACAAGAAAATTTTTGAAAACCTAGCAATGGAGTCTGGCATGTATAAAATACTTTTCCTGTAACAGCAAGGAGTCATTCTGCATATACTGAGTCCACATAGCATGTTCATTGTCTTGTAGCTCACCTTCTGTCTTGATCTTAAGGGAGGTCCGCACCAGGGCAAAAAGGGTAGCATTGAAGGTGACTGTTCCATCTGCATTCAGTGGCATGTTCATAGCCACCAATCTCTGCAGAGAGAAAAAATATTTCCAAAATTGGGAGAAATGTTGCTTCTTTGGATTACAGCTCCCAGAATCCCCCAGCCAGTATGGCATTTCCTGCTCTAGTTATTTTCCTGACTCTGCTCCCTTCCTGAGTCATAGAAGAAATACAGAATGAAGTCCTGCAATCTTGGGCAAGGATGCTGCTTGGAGACTTTTACTGTCCTACTAGAAGGAAGTCACAAATTGCTTGCACTCCTGAGGCCTTTTGTAATTACCTCGTGTGCCAGCTGCGACCATACCTTGGTAAGTTAGATCTGACCATGGTGGTCCATGCCTTAGTCGCCTCCAGACTGGATTACTATAATGCACTCTACGTGGGGCTGCCCTTGAAGACGGCTCAGAAATTTCAATTGGTACAACGGGCGGCAGCCAGGTTACTAACTGGGGCGACTTACAGGGAGCGGTCAACCCCCTGTTTAAGGAGCTCCATTGGCTGCTGTTCATTTTCTGGTCCCAATTCAAGGTGCAGGTTCTTATCTACAAAGCCCTGAACGGTTTGGGACCCGCCTAACTGTGTAACCACATTTCTGTGTATGAACCCAATCAATCTCTTCGATCATCTGGAGAGGCCCTGCTCTTGCTCCCGCCCCCTTCGCAGGAGCGATTGGTGGGGATGAGGGAGAGGGCCTTCTCTGTGGTGGCCCCCCGACTCTGGAAGTCATTTCCTAAGGATATCAGGCAAGCCCCCACATTGGCAGTCTTTAGGAGGAGCCTGAAAACATGGCTGTTCCAGTGTGTCTTCCCTGAATAAGAAAATAATTCCCAGCAAAATGTCTTCAGAAGCACTTTAACTACTTGTTGGGTTGCTCTCTCTTTATTTTCTTTTAAAACCCTCCTACCAGATACATCCTACCTCTGTTCATGCCCAGTGTTTATTTTAAATTTTAAACTATTACATTTGGCCCGGCCATAGGTTTTTAAATCCTTGTGTGTTATTGTTTATATGTGATTTATATTAATTGTATTGTTTTTTGCTTGTTGCTTTTTGTTTTATTGATGTTTTGTTGCTCTGAGTCCCCTTGGGGGGATGGTGGCGGGGTATAAATAAAGTTTTATTATTATTACCTTGCAGGCTACTCGGTGTGGGCAGAGCTTCCCAAAGCCAAGGGGTGGCTGAATGCGCCGGAGCAGAGCCACCACATCAAGGTGCTTGATACGGCCCCTGGAAGGACAACAAAATAGTTATTGGTTCCTCGTATTTATTTATTTATTTAGAACTTTTGTATACCGGTCTTCTCATCTCTGTGGAGGGACTCAGGTCGGTTTCCAACAATAGTATCACAAACAATCGTTTAAAAACATCACATTCTGTAATGCACTAACACATTAAAATACCAAAAATACAAGCATATAATTACAATGGCCAAGTTGTCACAATAAAATCGTTGTTCATCACCATCCATCCATCTAGCCACGAGTTATTGACTCACTCGTCAAATGCCAGTTTCCAGAGCCAGGTTTTCACCTGTTTTCTAAAGGTCAGGAGAGAAGGGGCAGTTCTAATCTCCAGTGGGAGAGAGTTCCAGAGCCGAGGGGCCACCACCGAGAAGGCCCTGTCCCTCGTCCCCACCAGGCGCGCTTGTGAGGATGGTGGGACCGAGAGCAGGGCCCCTCCAGACGATCTTAACAATCTTGATGGTTCATAGGGGAGAATCCGTTCGGACAGGTAAACTGGGCCGGAGTCGTTTAGGGCTTTATAGGTTAACACCAGCACTTTGAATTGTGCTCGGAAGCTAATTGGCAGCCAGTGGAGCTGGCGCAACAGAGGAGTAGTATGCTCCCTGTACCCCGCTCCTGTTAGTAATCTGGCTGCCGCACGTTGGACTAGTTGGAGCTTCCGGGCAGTCTTCAGAGGCAACCCCACGTAGAGAGCATTGCAGTAATATAAACAGGATGTAATCAGAGCGTGGACCACCGTGGCCAATATTTATAAACTGCTTTAAAAGGGATGACCTTTCCAAATCATCCCATGTAATGTCAAAATATTAAAGACACAAAAATCTGAACATTTTTAACAGCAGTGGAAATATGAAAAGCATGACAGTACAACTCTTATATCCATTTGGGATACCTTCCAAGACAACCTGTTTATATCTGAATTAACACGTAACAGTGGGCTCTATATTTTGACTATACATGGGCTGAAAGCATACAAAAAAATTGCACTGGGGGACCTAGAGAGGCCCACAAACATGTCTTATAATGATTCAAGACAAACAAAACTAGTACTATTTTATTGTTTATGTCCATTCCTATGAACTGCCCTGGTAGTGAAAATTTAACAAACTGCTGAAGCAGGTCAAGACCTTCTTCTGCCAACAGTCATTTGGGGAAGGATAAGGGGCAGGCTATGAGTTTAACGGCACTCCATGCAGTCATGCCGGCCACATGACCTTGGAGGTGTCTATGGAAAAGGAGATTCAATACACCTCTTTTGTAAGAAAATGTGCATCCAAGGGTAGAGTCTGGGGTAGAGGGCTAACATATTCTTTGCCTACTTCCACTTTTGTGATTTTTTTTGTCATGTCAGGAGTGACTTGAGAAACTGCAAGTCGCTTCTGGTGTGAGAGAATTGGCCGTCTGCAAGGACGTTGCCCAGGGGACGCCCGGGTGATTTGATGTTTTTATCATCCTTGTGGGAGGCTTCTCTCATGTCCCCGCATGAGGAGCTGGAGCTGATAGAGGGAGCTCATCCGCCTCTCCCCAGATTTGAACCTGCAACCTGTCGATCTTCAGTCCTGCCGGCACAGGGGTTTAACCCACTGCGCCACCGGGGGCTCCACTTTTGTGATAGGAGCCATAATTTCAGAGTATTAATTTCAGAAGGTGAAAACTGGAAAATCCCAAGATTGCTGGAACATCCAGAACCACCCAATACAGTATTCATCCTGAATTACAAGACAAAAAGTAATGTCTTTCTCTCTTAGGACCAGGTTGTGGCACAGCTGGTTGGGAGTTTGCTGCATTAAAATCACTACTGACCGAGAGGTCATGAGTTCGAAGCCAGCCCGGATTGGAGTGAGCTTCCGGCCATTTGTCTAGCTTGCTGTCGACCTTTGCAGCCCAAAAGACAGTTGCATCTGTCAAGTAGGAAATGTAGGTACCACTTATGCAGGGAGGCTAATTTAACTAATTTACAAAGCCATAAAAACTCTCCAGTGTGCAAAAGAATGAGGAAGTACTCCATCAGTGTCAAAAGTGGATGGTGAAGTGACAGCTCACCCCGGTGGCCAGAATTCAAAAAGCATACCCTCATGAAGCTGGAAAGTTAAATAGCCACTGTGTCTCTGTCTATATATGTTGTGTGTCTATGGCATTGAATGTTTGCCATATATATGTGCATTGTGATCCGCCCTGAGTTGCCTGCGTGGTGAGATGGGCAGAACATAAATATTGCAAATAAATAAATAAATAAATAAATATCTTACTTGGCAGCAGGATCATACTCTGACCAGATTCTCTTGAACTCATCAAGATGATGGGGACCCAGAATGGACCAGTCCCGAGTCAGGTAGTCAAAATTGTCCATGATGACAGCAACAAAGAGGTTAATGATCTAGGAAAGATTAGACAGAGGTCAGTAGATGATCATAGAGAGCAAGAACAGGAAATCAGAGGCAAACCACCGGATCCCCTAGGAATGTGTACTCAGAAGTGAGTTACATTGTATTCCCAAGGAGACACGCGTAAGACAGCAGTTACAGTTCAGAGGGTGGATGGCACATTACGGTGTCATATGGAAATATGAACTCTGTCTCACAGAAACTATTTTCAGTTTCCTGGCTTGGAACAGGCACAACAGAAATAACAACCACAATAATAATGCCTTAGAACATGCCTACTGTCCATTTCCTTTAAAAATGCTAGTCTTTCATATTTCTACAATAAGAAAAGAAGGATTTTGGTAATGAGACTCGGTGTCCCCCATTTTAGTAATTAGGCATGTGACTACAATGAGCCCTTGGTATCCACTGGGTTTAACTCTAGGCTCCACCACAGAACCAAAATCTGTGGTTGCTCAAGGTTTATTATATGCAATCTATATAACTCCAGCAAA